TCTTTTTAATAATATTTTCTTTTTCATGAATAAAAAACGTACGTAAAAAATAATGTTTTTCTGGAAAACCTCGGAGAAAAAACTGGAGAACAAAAAAATAAAATTCCGCGAGTTTTTCCATTTTCACAAAAAAAAAAAATTAACATTTAAAGCAATTAAAAAAAATAAAAGGAAAAAAATGTCATGAAAATATAAAATAATTTTTTTTTACTCGTTTGTTTAAAACTCTCGCCTCTCACTTTCCCTCCCTCCCCCCTCCCCGCCCTCCAACAACAACAACAACAACCGAGGGAAAAAATAAAATTTGAAATTATAAAAAAAAAAAAAATTTTTTTATTCTTTAATTAATTTTATATATATATGAATAATGATAATAATAACGCATGCGAACGTAATTTCGTAATTTTTTTATCATATTTTCCTCATATTTGAATTTAAAAGAAAATAGTATACCACTCCAGGAAAACTCCTGGAGTGATAAGAAAATAAAAATATAATTCAAAACCCGATATTAAAAAAAGGGAAATTTTTTTTTTTTTTTTTTTTTGCGAGTTCTTTGAAAAAGTGAAAAAAATTTTTTTCTTGCGAAATATAAAATGAATTTTATTTATTCGTTATTTTCGTAACATTTCTTAATCATCTTAAATTTTTTCCGTACGAATCATTTGTTTTTACTTTTTTTTTATTAATCGAAAAAATATCAAAATGACGTAATAAATAAAATATTATTTTTTTATGTGACGTAATGATTAAAAAAAGGAAAAGATATGACGTGGAAAATCGTGGAAGGATGAGTGAAAAAAGGGTTTCGCGTGTTTTTTTTTTTTTTGGGGAGGTAGTAAAAGAAAAAAAATATGCGTCACGTGAAATAACTTTTTCTTTTTTCCCCCCTTTTTATCTCGTTATCAAAAAGATAAGTTTTCTTTTTTTTCTTTTTTTACGTTTTTTTACCTCCACCATTTTGAGATTTAAAAAAAAAAATTTTCACACGCAAATACGTCGAGTTCGTTTGACAAAAAATTAATAATAATAATAATGACGGTTACAATTTTTTTTTGTCATTTAATACATTTTTCCAGAGTTTTTTTTTTTTCAGAAAATGTGATTTTTTTTTCTTTTTGGTAAAATTTAAAAAAAAAAAAAAAGTAATTGATGGAAAAAAAGAAAAAGAAATGAATGAGATTTAAAAAGAACATAAAAATTTTTATGATTAAAAAAAATAACGTCGTCGTCGTCGTCGACGTCGTCTTCGTCATCATCGTCGTCGATTATTAGAAGGATGAAAAAAAATCGTTACAAGTTTTTCTTTTTTTTGAAATTAACAATCAATGTCGCTCAATCTCATTTCTCCAGAGAAAAGAAAAGAAAGAAAAAAATTTTTTCTTTTTTCTTTCTTTCTTCGGGATGAAATAAACGACCGATATAATAAACAGTTATATATTTTTTTATAGGCGACCGACAAATAAAATAAAAAAAAAATTTAAATGGGATTTAAGAGAATCGATTCGCCCGAAAAAAAAAACCGGAAATCTTTGTTTTCAATATGGCAGCACCAACGGAAAATTTTTTTTTAAAAAAAAATAAATACTGACATTAATTAAATTTTACCCGGATTTACTTATTTTTTCTCAAGCGATTATTTTATACTTATTTTTCTCCTGAATTAATTTTTTTTTCCTTTTCTTCTTCTACCAATCCACAGAAACCGGATGTTCTCTTTCGATCGGTAATTTTTTATTTCAATTTTTTCCTTTTCCTTCTTTACCTTAAATTATTTCATTTCATTTAATAATAATCGTGCGACAGATGTTCGTTCACTTATTTATTATTTATTTTTTCTCGAAAAATAAGAATTATTTCTCGTTCCATTTATTATTATTATTATTAATATTATTATTATCACTCATAATCACGACGATTCGTCTTAATGTTTGTCGGAGAAACATTCATTCCAGAATTCTACCCGCCGATTCCTATGAAATATCATGCCGGATGATGCTGCATGCCTGACGAATAGGTTTCTGTCTTGTTATAGCCTATGACGTCACAATAATTGTCCTGAGTCTTCCTGACACCATTTTATTCGGTGGAAACGATTTA